GCAAAAATGAAAACATTGCCCTGCAGGCTGTAGAAAGAGCCATGGAATGTTGTAATGTCAACGATGTGGATGAAGCAAATTTAAGTTTTCTCTATGCCAGAGTTGCGGTACAAAATTCGGAAGACAATGATCTTATATTTAAACACACATTGGGTGGCATTAAAAAAAGATTGCCGGTGTTCGAAGAGGATCCTCTGTTTGTATGTAAAACCAAAGGATGGCATTTGTATAGTTCAATTAATGTCCTAAATGAGTTTGTACAAAACAAACCCATTTTATTTTTGGATAATTTTGTGGACATACTCAATACCATAGAAAATATTGAACTGATGATATTAAATATGCTAAATATTTGTAACAATAAATCGGAGACAGAAGAATTGTCTGCTGCATCATTTGAGGACATGGATAAAAGTTTGGAAATCCTAGTGGCACAAAGTAAATTCATTTGCGAAAACCATGAACAATTACGTAAATATTTGCTCATGTCATTTTGGCTGACACTTAAATCCTGTTGTGATTTAGCTGCATCCATGGCGGAAATTGTGGTACCATCTCAAAGTTATGAAGGCAAATTAGACTTCCTGCAAAGATGCATCAACATTAGTGTCATTGTTTTAACAAAATGTCGCCATAAAGGTGCCATAGAAGCTGCTGGCGTTACCATTGGTAAAATAACAAAATGCGTAACATCACAGCTACCCGAAAATAGTCCAGAATATGAATTATTTCACACATATTTGCAACAGCTCTATGATTGTGGTGGCAAGAGGGAGGTCAGCACAACACGCAGAGGAGCAGGGTTTTCAATTATGTTTCTGCATATTGTTAAAAATGAAGATAATCGTGGCAGGCCCATATTAAGAAAAGTTATGCAAAATCTTCTAATGGCAACCAAAAATGATAACACTGCCTTGGATTCGTCTTTCAATTGTGATCGCATAGAAGCTCTACATTTACACTTTCTCTGCGTTTTAGTACGAGACACTGAACTCAGAGAGGCAATGTCGAAATATTACAATGACATTATGATGACTGCAGTCACCCATATTGATAATCCCGAGTGGACGGTTCGCAATGCTGCCCTACAGCTGTTGGGGGCTTTGGTACCAAAAATCGTTGGCCAACGTCAGGCAACGGAATTTGAAGAGGCATTACCCTGGGAACCTTCGGAGGTGACATTTTGTGAAATAACACGGAAATTTAATTTATCCTATGAATACATTCTCAATTATTGTCTTGCCGAGAAAACTGCCACCGGATCGATAATTTTATTTTTAGAATTTCTCCACAAAGTGGAATACATTCACAAACAAGAAACCACAGCACCAAAGAAGGTAGAAGAGTTTCGTGAGCTAATGTGGTCTCTGCTGCGACATCCATGTGAAAAAGTGCGCAAATTATCGGCCAAATGTTTTGTACGTTCCCATGAATTTAGTCATGAACTACCCAGCGCCTTGTTACAAATTGCCTCAATATTGTTCCGAGTCGGAAATGAAAACTTTTTTGAAAGTCTCATACAAACTCTACATCAGGGTGTTTTGAAACTACAACATGATTTGAAATATGTCATTCCGGAAAAGGAACTGAGAACATTAATTGATAAAATCAGGGAAAACCTGGAAGAAAACTTTAGTCTTCAGCGTAATTACAAATATTATAGCTTATGTAAGCTATGGGATTTGGTGGAGTTGCTTTATCAAAATGCTGATTTGAATTTGGCAGAGTCTATCATATTAAATGAATTGAAGAAATTTCCTTTGAATGACAAAGCAAATTGTACAATAGCCTATGATCTATGGCTGCAACGCATACAACCTGTAAATAATGCTTAATTATAGAAATAGTTTTAACGCACAATATTTATTTTTAGTATTAAGAGAAAATACTTCAATTATACAACCTTGATATAAAATAAAAATCGGACATCGTTTTTCTAAAATAACTGACTTTTACTTGCAAACTGTTAAAATTAAGATAAGGCTTATTATTACAATAGGAACCTGACCGAACCGCCTGGATTACACAAACAGATATGTGCATCAAGGATTTTTATGGATAAAATAAACATGCACCCCATTCGTATACACAATTCTGTACCTATTTCCAAATTTAGTCAACGAGTTTCTGATCAGGAACATTTCTATAAACACATCGATTTAAACATGTCCGTCTGTCGAAATCATGATAGATCTAGCGATATTAAAGATAGAGCTTCGAACTTTTGACCAGACATTGACATTACGCCTCAAGTGTTTGGTATTGAACCTTTGTGTATTATCATTCCACTTTTAGGTATAGCTCCCAAATAGGAACTTGCATTCGTAAAAAAGGTCTCATTGCGCAAAATTCATTCAGATGAAAATTTTTGCAATTCAAAAGATGTGTATACCTGTGACAATATATGTCGATAGTCAGGTGGCCTTTAAAGCTATTAAGTCACAAGTCATTAAATCGAGAGCTATACCTAATTTCAAGGAAGAATAGTTTTTTTTCGGTTCTCTTCGATTAATCTACTGATGGGTTGCAAGGTTTCTTCGAAGTCTTACCGACAGTATCGACTTCCCATTAGTGTGGTCCCAATATCCTTTTTTCCTACCACTTAAGCATACGGGACGCACTATTGCGTCGTCACCATTTTTCTTCGCCTTGGGTTGCTGCTCCTCACTTGACCGCAGACTCTTAACAGCCATTTGCCGAGCGGGGGACTTGGTCGCATTCGAGGCTGCTCCCTTCGGTGAGATTCGCAACTCAGCAGATGAGATGTTCTTAAGTCCGCTCGCCGTAGCCTTCTTTGTGGTTGACTCTGTCTTGTCCGCCTGATTTTTTCACCAACTCTGCCGTTGTAATGGGTTTAGTTAATGAATGAAGTGATGGTCTCACCTGAGCCGGTTTCAAGGGTACGGCATCCTTTAATTTCTCTTCTTCCCCGCAGCCTTTTTAGTGGCATGCGGTTCCGTTGACTTTATCTCAGCAATGCCTTACCTTGCTTTGGAGTGTAGTACCTCCAGTTTTGGCACCTCAGATGCCTTCTCTAAAGGGTTCTTTAGTCCAGCTTTCTTCGTTACCACCTTTCCACATGGGTATGGATTTCCACAGTCGTCGCCTTATTTGGGGCCTTGACTGGTTTCTTTACTGGGGGAGTCAATCTTATCGGAAGTTCCCTTAGTGTTGTTTTAGGATATGTTTTCTCGAACTTCCTACCATTCATTCTGATAAGTTGCAACTCCTTTTAATGAGCTTTGGTAGATCTCCATCGACATGTCGACTATAGTAATTGAATGCTCGTCGATATGACATTTTATTCCTCATAGAACTTAGGGACAATTTTATTTTATCAACGGAGACGCCACTATGTCCTCATTCTACTGTCACTGTCAAATCACCGAGATTGAAGATATACAGGGGTGAGATAAAAAAAACTGCAACAAATTCAAACTCCATAATTTTTTTTACATTTTTTTTTTTAAATTGTATTGAATGAAAGCAAAAAATGTCGGAAATAGCATCAAATTTTAGAATATTGGTCATCTTTGGCACGAATTATTGCCTTCAAACGGCCAATGAAACCGTCACCGAATGTTGCTCTGCGGTATATTGGCCCATTCCCGGCGAAGTGCTTGCTTGAGGTGATCGACCTTGCCAACCTTGCTTTCCAAAATACTCCAGACACAATAGTCCAACGGATTGGTATCCGGAGATTTTGGTGGCCATTGTGCGCTGTAAATGAAGCAATGAAGCGTGCCCAAGGCTTTGATACACCCTCCAGAATATTTTCGCGATAATATTCGACATTTATTCTGATGCCACTGTCGATTAATAGAGCGAAGAGCGAGAGTTTTTCATCTCACCCTGTAAACTTTCTTCTCAGACGTAGATCCTCTCTTGGCTACTAGTAGTAGTAGTAGTAGAGTATTTTTTATTTAAACATTTCAAATTCGTTACAGTGTATGTAATATTAAATTAAACTTTTATGTAATATTAAATAAAAAATTAGATATATAATATCGATAAGACAATAGCCTATGGCTGTCTGTCTGTAGCTTATGTTGTAATTTTTTTTTTGTTTTTTTTTTTTTTTTTATTATTATTATTTTTTAAGACATTGTTTGAAAATACAAATTGGGATTTAAAAGTTAAATTCAGATAATAGCTGATTTCTATATTGTACACCAACGGTCTCCTTGTGAAGCACCTTTTGACTACGGTGAAGCTTAAGTTCCAACTAAATTAACTGTAATTTAACAGTTCCGATTCTCTGTTCTATTCATTATAGCCCTCACTGTTTAGTATGCCCATATATGGTGGTACCTTGGGCATTTCGAAGGTTTTAGCTCAAATTTTTCTAGCAGAACTTGAATTATATTGGTATTTGCTTCTCATTAAATGAAAACTCAATTTACAAACATTATTCAATATCGGTTGATATAAAGTCCTCCAGAAAAATAGGTGGCATATTCCAATTTTGAAATCTTTATAGCATTTTCTTTTTGTATCGAACTAAAAAACTTATTCTACTTCTTAATATTGTTGATATTTTGATAGAAAAAGTTCCTTCTTCCACTGACCTATAACTAATGCAGTTCCAAATTATATAAATGTATATGCATTCGTTTCGATATCAACGTGTATTACTAATCTTCCTGATTTTATTTTTTCTAATTTCAGTATTATCGAACGTGGTGAATCGGAATGCGGCGATCTTATTGAGGCTCACAAGAAATGTATGCGAGAACAAGGATTTAACATTTAAAATAGTTTCGTAGCAGCAAACAAATTGGATTACTTAATTTTCTGTTAAAATGTATTCTATTCTTATGACTCTATCCCAAAATCTCGAGTTCCTTTCGAAATGACAAATTTCAAAGAACTTCTTTCTAGCAATGTGTAGTCATTATGTGTTATTAATATGAAAAAAACGACGCTTAATTTATTAAAACAAAAATATGTTAAAATTAAAAAATATATAAACCAAATGAACAAAATAATATCATTTAATATTTAAATGAAATGCCTTTTAATTTAAATATATTTCAAATTTTCAAAACCAACAACAATTGCCATATAAATGGTAATGAGGAACATGACAAAGAAAGCTAAAAATCTGGAAGGTTGTGGCACAGGACGGAAGGCATACACCAAGGTGTGAATAATACGTGCCACAGAGGCTACGCGAAACAGATTGCAGGCAATTGTGGGATTTGGATCCGTGCAAATGTAGAGTAAAGCCATGGTGAAATAGGGTAAAATATTTTCCATATCATTGCGATGGGCTCTGTAATAATAAGATTCAAAATAAATTAGTTCATGATTGGTGTTGCAATTGTTTATAACTTACCTTCTAACTCTTTCCACATGTGGATCATTGAAAGCTACTTCTATATTCTTGAAAAACAGATCCTCTTGGTTCGGGAATACCTAAAACAGTTCGAGAATAAGTTTTTTTTTCAATATGAGTTTAGAATTGAGTTTTCCTATAATTTTTATTAAAAGTCTTTGTGTATGTGATAGTCTACCTTTTTAAGAAGACTGTGTGGCATTAGACCCAAAATCTGTAAAATTTCAAAACTTTTAACTTTTCCAACAATTTTGTTAATTTTAATTAGTAAATTCCAATTATTAAAAAATATGAAAGAGAAGCTAAATAGCTAAATTTTGAAAAAAAGCTGATTAAATCCATTAATAAAATAACAAATTCATATTGTAGTGCATGCTTATAAACCATGACTCTTAAAATATTAACTTGATTTAAAAGAGTTGTAAAAGATGATGTGTGAAAAAAGTGTGCATATAAATAAAATTTTGCTTAATTGAATAAATTCAAATAAAACCTAAAGGTAAATAATAAAATATGTTTAAAGTTTTAAATAAAGTATTGTGAAAGAAATGATAATGAAAGCACTTATACCAACTATAGTGCGTCGATGATGTATTGAGTACTTGGGATTCTATAGAATTTTTTTAAATATAGGTTTTTTTAAATACCCTACAATTCAATGTATTGGGGGTATTAAAAATATGATTGGACCAAAAATTATGTAACACCTAGAAATATTGGTCCAAGACATAGGGTGTCATATATGGATCTTCCTATCTCGAAGAGTCAACCAGCTATATGTGTTCGTCCGTCTGTCTGTCCATGCTAAGTTTTGATTACGCTACACCTTGTAATTATGGTCCGAAATTTCATGGTCAGAAAAGAAGCCTATTGTTGGGGGAGATTATAGCAAAATATTTCAGCATTGAAATGGACCAAAAACAAAAACAAATTTCTTGATTTTGCACTTGCTCTAGAGGTCACAATTATGGAGCAATCGACTCGGAATTTTGAATAGGGCTAGATAACAGAAGCCTACTAATTTGGATAGTCATCGAATAATATTTAACAGGTAGAAAAGATCATAACTTTTATCTTTACGAAAATTTTCATTAAACCGCGAAAATTTCTAATTCCAGCGATATCAAAATACACGCAAAGTTCACTTCTGACCATTACAGTGATGGTAATAGCCGAGATATTGGATGTATAGCAAAACATATACCATCTCATATAGTAAAGAAGGGGATGTTAGTTAGACCGTTTACAACTCAAGACGGCTCGACGGATTTTGACAATTCTCACCACTTCAGAATTGCCCTTATTAAAAAAAGATTCTAATAAAACTATGAATATTTTTCTCTAATATTTTGCGATATATTTTTTTATCTCATGAAATTTTTTCAATATGACTTACAATATTGAATTGAAAATATTTTAATATGTTTTTCACCTTACAATACTATGTATTATATTCAGGTCGCAATTATAGTCCGAAATTTTACATGGGGTAGAGATAGGTCAAAGATCAAAATAGAAGACTTTTGTTTTGGAATATCTTCGCAGATATTTAATCGACCAAAAACCTAAAAATTGTCTAGATTTTGGAATCGTTCTACAGTTCTCAACTAAGAACCAATAGACATGGATTCTTATACCCTCAACCATATGGTTTGATACGGCCAAAACGAGCCCAATCGAAATAAAGGTTTTAGATCCTATTTGGTCCAAACTTGGTATTATTATTAAAATTAGATCGAGTTCGGAGATGGGCAATATCGGTTCACCCCTTCTGGTACCTCCCCAAAAAATATCAAAATTTTCAAAAAAAAAAAAAAAGAGAAAGTATAATTCGATTTTGCCCCAACTTTGCAAATCCTAATATATGCCTCAGTGCTAGGTCATGTAGGAAAATGGACAGCATCGGTCTACTCCATGAAGTTCCTCCCACACAAAGGAACAAAATTTTGAATTATCTTATAAAATGTGATATAAGAGTCTGATTGTCTTCAAATTACACACATAAGAATATTTTTATGAACCCGATTTCTGGTGTGAACATGGAATATATCGGTCCACTCCTTCTGGCATTGAATATTCATGAAGTTTATAAAATGCGAAATTAACATATGATTCCATTAAGACTTGGAACATCTCAACAATTCTTTCAACATAAGATCTGTTATAAAGATGGTATATATCGGCGCACTCCTTCTAGTATCTCCCCCATAAAAGGTCAAAATTTTGAATATCCATGAAGCTCATAAAGGGCGATATTAACATCCGATTCCATTCAGACTTGATACATCTTAATATTTCCATCAACACAAGATCTGTTATAAAGATGGTAGAGATCGGACCATTTCTTCTGGTACCTCCCTTACATAGGGTTCAAGAAAATGGAAGTACGAAAATGGAATACTTAGGTCGACTATATTGGGTAATTCACGCACATTTTAGCATTTTCTAAATCTATAACTTATACTATTAAAAGTGAAGGAAGTAACCAATATTGTTATATAATATATATTTAGGTCCGATATGAAATTGTCCATATTGGCCCATTCCTTCGGAACCTACTTTATAGAGGGTCAACAATTTTAATAATCATAACAGAAGTCAACATATATTTAATTAATCGAACACTGGCTGAGGGAAATTTGGTAAAATTCAATATTTGAAAATTTTAGCAGAATTAACTGAAACTGTCAACAGAATTGTCTGAAATTTCGTATTTGAAGTTCACAATGTGTTTTAGACTCTTTGATTTAGATTGTTTGAAAACTTTTTTAAATTGAATTATTTCAGGGTCTGTAAATATGCAAAGTTAAAAGTTTTCGCCGAATTTCGGCTATAATTTTTTGTTAGCTTCAGTATCTATCTTGATGTCTTATCATGAAACGAATTTTCTTTAAAAAATGGAACTCAAGGATATTTACTATTTTTGGACTCTTAATGGGTTGTTTTATCTTCGCTAGATATCAGAAGTTCTTGGTTCTGTAATTTTTGTTTTTTTTCTTTCCAAAATCAATTCCGATTTCATAGATCTGTTGTTCTAACATCAGAACGGTTTTTCGAAAATGAATTTATAATCACGTTATCGTTTGTCAACATTTACTCTTGTGAAATATTGAAATTTTGAGTCTTCTTACCTTATTGCGGAAGCGTTGCAATGCCGTTAGCATAGACATCAACAACATTTTGCCAACCAAAACACTGGTCCATAGTAAGAAACAACAAAATACGCGATTTTCAAGGTTCAACAGAGAGAAGCCACCACTGGGCGTTGATTTGTTGTTGGGCATTGATGATATGGTCGCAGCATCCATTTTAATTCGTCTGATGTGTAGAATGTGTCGAAACTTGTTTACTTTTTAATGATCGGATCGCAAAACTGCAACGTAATAAAAGTGCGAGTGTGTGTATGTTTATAAAAATATTATATTGGAGATGATGTTGGAATTTTGGATCAAAACAAAAAATTAAAATGAATATATTCAAATACATATTAAAAATTAATATATTAATTAATTAAAATTAATAATATTTGATCGGACCATGATTTTGAAAAAACATATGTTAATGAGAACAATAGAAAAATTGACAGACCTTATATTATCATTCAATTATTAAACATTTAATTATTCAATTGCACTTCGTTAACCTTAATAAAATACGTCAGTTATTAGTAAGTTTTTTTACATTGTAACACAACCCAGCAACCACTTCCTTGCCCTTGTTAAATTTAAGATTGATTCTTAAGTAGTTATAATTGTGGAAAATTTATTAAAAATTGATTGCAGTGAATTTGGAGAAAATGCTACATTTGGCGATAATTTAAAAATAGTTTTTATAAACCAAAATTTTTTGGCAAATCTTAAATAAACAGTGAACAGTGAAATTCGATCTAGCTTTGGCACATTATCCAAAAAATTAATTATTATAGGAAATTTTGACTTAGAATGGATTTACAAAAAAATAAATTGTATTTTCCTTTCATACATGAACTCTAAAAAAGTCTGAGGAAAAATTGATTAAAAATTATGACATATAAGTGTTTTCCTGACAAATATTGGAAATGGACAAATAATGGAAACATTATTATATATTTCAGTTTTTAATATAGTACTTAGTTTTGGCCTTTAAAGTCCGATCCCTTAAAGTTTGTGTATACCGGGACTTCCTGTTATTAGGTTTATTTTTGAAGTTTCATGGAACCATTATATATCGACCAAAGACGTTAAAAATGATAAAAAGTGTTCTTGATGATCTTGAAGTTGAATATTGTCATACTTTCCACCATACACAGTATGGAGGGTATATTAAGTCCGTCATTCCGTTTGTAACTCATCGAAATAATAATAGGAAGATAAATTTTTGCACAGATCAGTTTTTTGTATGTAGGCATGTCAAGTTCGAAGATTAGCTATATCGGTCCACGATATCATATAATCCCCATATAACGGCACCCCCCGATATTCGGTATTTTCATGATTTTAGCCATATTTTTTCATTGGAATTGTCTGAAAATCCACACAAGGAGTTCCTTCTGAGTACTTTACCCCATGGAAGAGAATTGTCTATATAGGCCCACGATATCGTATATCCCCCATATAACGGTACCTTCCAATATTCGCTATTTTTTAATTGAATTATTTTTCAATAGAATTTTTCAATAGAATTGTCTTAAAATCCACACAAATTGTCTATATAGGTCCACGATATCGTTTAGCTCTCATATAACGGTACACCCCGATATTTGGTATTTTGATGAATTTAGACATTTTTGACCGGAATTGTTTCAAATTTGATTATATTAGCGTCATTATTCAACGAAATTATTTCAAATTTCGTATTTGAAGTTCGGAATCAGTACTACAGCCTATGACAATTACCACGTCTTCGTATAGTCCCCATAAAACATTTTAAATTTAAGTGGTATTTTTCGTTTTTTTTTTTTAATTTTTTAACATTTTTTCTATATTGATTTCATGCGTTCACATGTTCTCTTCTGTTTTAGAATAGCTATAATTTTTTTCATAAAGATTTAAACCTCACAAAATGTTTCCTTTGTTCATAAAGGCTCCAAATTTTGGGAGCTCGTAATAGCAAAAGTTAATTGAAAAACGGTGTGGTACGCGTCTTTCCATTTTTGGTCTTCTCTCATGTTGCGGTGTCAGAATGTGGTGATTAATCTTTGACTAATAAAATTAAACACAATATTATGTTTTACATGGTTGATATTACAAAATGGATTATCGGTAAATATTTTAGTATATCTCCATAAAAGGTACGCTTCTTGATTTTTTACTAGTCGATGGATTCAGACACAATTTTCAACCAAATTTTTTGTAAGTTTTTCAGAAATCAGTTTTTTAGCTTTAACTCCAGATTTTAGTTTTTTTTAACGACCTTTGTCATATTTTCAAATAATTTCGTTATAATTTATGTTTCTCTTATGTCCGAGGAATAAACATAATTTGGCCTTTTTTATTAATTTATTCTCTACGTTTGCAGCACTTTCATATATTTTCCATATACCTCATAAAATACATTTTTTGTTGGGTAGATTCAAATTCCAAGTCTGTCTTAAGATGGGATTACATTTTCTGAACCAAATGCAGTACAAAAAAAAATCAAATAATTTTTTTCCTGAAATCTCTATCATTCTTCAGTTGTGAAGGATATTTATTTCCATGGGTTTTTAAGCTCGGATGGTAGGGTATGCAATGCGTTCGACATCTCGTTCGACAATAGTTGTAATTTAATTGTATTTTTCATAGTTATTTTTTAATATTTTTCATTGATCTCAAATTTATAACTTAGTGCAAATAGCCTTTGCATGTAATGTTAAGATATTACATTAAAACACTATAATTAACTTTCATTGAACAATCATGAACAGTTAGATATGTTAATCTCAAAACAAAGTGATTTTTCTTTAAATTGCGCCGGGACACATTCATTTCATTTTTGATTTTAAAACTTACTTTGAACGTCTACGCGATATTAAGTTTAGATTCGATTAAATGTTACTGCGCCAGCGTTTAGAACTCGAATGATTTTGATACAAACTCTAAAGATATACAGATTTAAGCTCCATGAAACAGCATTCAGAATTGTTTTGCTGCATCGCTGTGCTTTTGCAAATGTGTTGTGTTTGCATCGGCACAATTGACCAAAACAAGTTAAGAGAGAAATATCTAGTTTCACTGGCTTACAGTTATTGCCAAAATGTTACGAAATTATTGATATTCATTGTTGTGGCATTAAGGATCTTTTCCGGCCTATATGTATTGTGAATGATAAACCCCCATATTAAATGTATTATTCTACTTTTTGATTTAACTCATAACATCAAAATTTCAAAAGCTAGTTTGAAATGGCGCATTTCTTTAGCATTCACCTTCGGATCGTCATATAAAAATGGGTCAACATTTTTTTTATTTTAGCAATTAATGTTTAAAAGACACATTTCTAGAAATACTCAGCAATAATTTACTACTTTTCATTCGTTATTATTTTTTTAGGTTGTGGTTTTCTATGTTACTTTAGCAAAAAAAAAAACAAACTTGGCTTGTGTTTCCCTGCAACTTAACTTGTATATTGCATTGGAGCTTTTGTGTAGCTAAAAATAATTATACAGTAGAAACCCTATAAAATCTTTATTCATTCTCAATAAGATTTAGTTATATTTTATTGGAAATTTTTCGTTTTAGTTTAAAGTATAACCAACAGCAATGAAGCGAATTCTTAAAACTATAACGTATTATTTTAATATCATATTTCCATTCCCAATAATTGTGAGAAATTTTCGATCAGAAAATGTTGATTTAATTTATTATTTAATTTTGTTGTTTTTTTTTTGGTAAAATCAAACGCATCATTGTTAAATTATAAACCAATCTGAAGATGGTTGACAGTAAAACAAAACATGGATCGTGCATGAACTTTTTAAACCAGCGTTGACAAGAAGTTAATAGCTAACAAGTAAAAAAGCTGTAAGTTCGGCCGGGCCGAACTTTGAATACCATTTGGTACAAATTTAACAATTAAAAAAAAAATAAATAAAATTCGTTAAAAATTCTGTTAAAATATTAAAAATACCGAATGTAGCCGTATATTAGGGTCTATACGACGACGTGGACCTGCAGAAACAACTTTTGTCACAAGCTATTACAATATTCAAATGCGAAATTTAAAAAATAATCTCAAATGAGTTTTGGAATGGTAGCTTTCTTTAGCATTCAAATATTAAATTTTGACCTACTATATTTAAGGGATAAATTTCTAAAAAATTCCTACAATAATTTTTTTGCATTGTAAACTTCTATGTTGCTATAGATTAAGAGGAACCAAAGTTGGCTTGTGTCTCTCTTAACCTCATTGAAGCTTTTGTGTAGTTAAAAACGAATTATACAGTAGAACCTCTGTAAATCCTTTATCAATCCTCAATACGATTTTTAGTATGGAGGGTATATTAAGTTTGTCATTCCGTTTGAAACACCTCGAAATATACATTTTAGACCCCACAAAGTATGTATATTCTTGATCAGCATAAAGTTCTATGTCGAAGTAGATTTATAATATTTTACTCAAATGTGTATTATGCCTGCAGGACTCTTGGTATTGAAAATGTAGGTCAACGTCTTCGTATGGCCCCCATATAACGGTACCTCCCGATATTCGGTATTTTGATGATTTTAGCGACATTATTTACCAGAATTGTTTCAGATTTGGTATTTGAAGTTCGTAATGAATACTACAGCCTATGACAGAAAATTGTCTGTGCAGGTCCACGTCATTGTATAGCCCCCATATAACGGTACCTCCCGCTATGCGGTATTTTGATGATTTTAGCGACACTATTTACCGGAATTGTTTCCAAATTGGTATTTAAAGTTCGTAACAGATACTACGGCTTAAGACAGAAAATGGGCTATGTAAGTTCACGTCTTCGTATAGCCCCCATATAACGGTACCTCCCTATATTCGATATTTTGATGATTTTACCTACAGATTTTTTTCAAGTTTCGCATTTGTATATTGTAATAGCTTGTGACAAAAGCCTTGCCTATGCAGGTCCACGTCGTCGTACAGACCCTAATATACGGATACTTTCGGTGTTTTTAGGATTTTAACAGAATTTTTAACGGATTTTATTTTTATTTTTTTTGTTTTGAAAATTGCCAAATTTGTACCAAATGGTGAAGGGTATTCAAAGTTCGGCCCGGCCGAACTTACAGCTTTTTTACTTGTTTTTATTAAGATTTTTAAATACCGAATATAATTAGTTACCGATATTTAGGGGCTATACGAAGACCTGGACTAGGCTATAGTATCCATTACGAACTTCAAATACCAAATTTGAAACAATTCCAGTACGGAATATCGGTAGGTGCCGTTGTTTGGGGGTTATACGAAGACGTGGACCTGCACAGATAATTTTCTATCATAGGTAGTATCCATTACGAACTTCAAATACTTCAGAACTACAAACAGTTGTGATGAATAATGTCGCTAAAATCATCAAAATACTGAATATCGGTAAGTTATATGGGGGCTATACGAAGGCTGGACCTGCACGGACAATTTTCCATCATAGGCTGTAGTATCCGTCAGGAACTTTAAGTACCAAATTTGAAACAATTCCGGTGAATAAGTTGCTTAACTCATCAAAGTACTGGATTTGGAGGGGTAGCGTTACATGGGGGCTATGGAAAGACGTAGACCTGCATAGCCAATTTTCCGTCACAGACATTAGTAACCATTATGAACTATTATTACGAAATTACAAAATATCGAAAATAGGGGCTATAACTAAACGTGGACCTTTATAGCCGATTTTCCGTACTAAAAGTCCTGAAGACGAAACACACATTTGAGTAAAATTTTAGCTAGAAGTGATTCCCGCAGACAGACGGTCATCGTTAAATTGACATAGAATTTTATGCTGATCAAAAATATATTTACTTTGTGGGGTGGGTCTAAAATGTGCATTTCGAGGTGTTACAAACGGAGTAACAAACTTCATATACCATTCATACTATGGTGGAGGGTATAACTAGGACTGTTGTAAGCGGCTTAACAATATCCTTATGCTTTAATGATTTCTTTCCTTTCTGCTTTCGATTTTTAGATAACGTCACTCGGTTGTCGATTGACCGAAAATCGTAATTTTACGAAAACACCAGGCAAACAGAAGTAGGAAAAGCAAGACGAAAAATATGTATGGTGTTGCTAGCATAAAGAATTATGCCCTACCATATTTTCACAATAAATCAGAGCCTATTTTAGGGAGCGTACTTTTTGTATGTGACTTTGAGCCTCAAAGTATGCTCTGAATTTTGTTTTATTTTTCATTGAATCAAAAAGAAACTCTAAATAAAACAACTTTCTTTTAAAAACATTTAAAATTCAATTTTGTTTTCATTAAAAAATTAGCAAATAACAAATATTTCTTTTAAAAATGTTTTTAGAGACTTTATTTGGGAGGTATTTTTTTATTGTACTAAAAAAAGTATAACTATTTTTTACAAAAATATACAATTGTACATACTTAACACTATTACATGCGATATATATTCGAATATTTGATTTTAACAAAAAATAAATGTATAACAGTTTATGTTAATATAACAGATTACAACTAATAACGATACGAAAATATAGTATATAAAAAATTATGTGGGCAAAATTAAAAGAACATGAGAAAAACAAAGATAGAATAAAAAAAGCAAAATAAATTATAAATGAAAAAATGTTTACAAAAAGAGATAAAATCAACGCATTGAGAAAATTATGAAAATATTGTACAGGAAGTGATCTTCTATTTATAACAGAGAAATATTGAGAGTATAAAAAGAGGAATTAGCTAGATAAGTACAGATCACAGTCAGGAAATGTTAAAGTGACACATTTCCCATTATTTTCTATTCAAAATTCAATTGAATTTCATTTCATATCTTCTTCATTGTGATCGTAGGCCTCATTCGTAACACCATTGTTGGTGGTGGTATCCTTCTGATTTTCCATATTGTTGTCCTTGCTGGCCATACGTTCTTCGTTGTTCTTGATTCTTTGTGGAGTTGATGGTTGCGCCGGTGGTAATTGTCCCATTTGTTCATTATTGGGTCTAACGGATTTCTCTCCGGCTTCTGGATCACCTTCTTCGCTGTGTGTTACATATTTATAACGCATTGCCAATAACATGAATATAAACATGTCGATGATCATGAGACCAGCAAAGAGTGCAAATTCAGCAGCCTGTGAATTAAAGAAAAAAAAATTGGTTAATGTGGCATTATTCGATTAAGATTTAAAAAATATCAAAAGTATAAGTTGGTTTTGCCGACAGAAAATTTTAGAAAATGTTGAAATTCGTGTGATGTTCTTGATATAGTGGAGAGATAAAAATACGGGTATGGTAACAAAATCGAACATTTATATCAAATTTACGCGAAATCATAAATTCAGTTTTCTGGTTAAGTTAAATATTTTGATATAGCAAATTGTAAAGAATCGCTGACTTGTTTCGCCAGCTATGACAGATAAAAGAATTTAAAATTGTAACCCTTTGTGGGCGAGGTATCAGTAGGGGTTCGCAGATATAACAGGGTGAGATGAAAAAACTACAACCAACTTCAAACTGCTGTCATTTCGAAGCCACTCGTCCGACAGCTGTTAAAATTATTCCAGTGACAGCTCATTATATTGTTTACAAGCGTACAAAAGCATTTTGGTGAGAATTTTCCAGAAAAAAATTATTCGTGACGGAATTAAGCGTGACAGTGTGATTTTTTATATTTGTCTGAAAACCCACAACTGGCTATCCTTAGAGCACTTCAGCATTTAAATGTGAATACATCTTTTGTGTCTCGTACCATCGCTCGTTACCATGATACTGGTAGCGTAGCCTGTCGTCAAGGAAGTAGACGGAAGAAAACAGCAACATCAGCAGAAATTGTTCGAAAAGCAAAGAAGCGTCGCAGTGGGTGAAAAATGGCTCGCGAGCTGAACATATCGCAATATTCCATTCGGCAAAAATTGAAAAATGAGCTCGCATCGGGGTAAAGCCATTGAAATTCCAAAAAGTTCAAGAACTTACACCGCAACAGAAAGAAAATAAACTCAGAACAGTTAAAGAGTTGCTTCGCTTGGCCCACAGTGGTGAACTGCCGAATTTGATCAGAAAACATTCGTTGTCCAGCAGTTTGTAAACAAACAAAATGATAGTGTTCACTTGCCAAAGAGGTCAGCTGAAAATGTGCACCTTCGGTTGGCTACCAGAACTCAAGCACCGGCCATGGTGTTGGTGTGGGACACTATAACAGCCGATGGTCGCACTCCGCTCGGTTTAATCGACCGTTGCATCGGAATAAATGCCGAATATTATCGCGAAATTATTGTGGATGGTGTATAAAAGCCTTGGGCACGAAAACATTTTGGTCGAAGACCTTGGACATTCCAATAGGACTCAGCACGCACCACCCAAGAATGGTTGCAAAATGAGGTTTCTCGCTTCATTTCCAGTTCACAATGGCCACCAAAATGTGCTGATACCAATCCTTTGGACTATTGTGTCTGGAGTATTTTGGAAAGCAAGGTTGACACTAAAAAAACCAGTGTCGATCACGTTAGGCAAGCGCTTCTCCGGGAATGGGCCAAAATACCGCAGAGCAATATTCGGGCAGCGTGTAACGGTTTCATCGGTCGTTTGAAGGCCATAATTCGTGCCAAAGGTGACCAATTCGAACAAATCTTAAATTATTCTAAAATTTGATGCTCTTTCCGAAACTTTTTGCTTTTATTCAATAAAATTTAAAAAAAAAATGTAAAAATTATGGCGTTGGACTTTGTTGCGGCTTTTTTTATCTCACCCTGTATTCCACCTTCACAGCAGATTTTGTGTTAGTAGACAAAATGAGATTTGTGAAATTTGAGGGAACCGGATGCTTATTTCGGATTTTATGATGTTTTTGGTTATTCAAAACATTGACTCTTTGTGGCTGAGGTACCAGAAGGAATGATTCGATCTCTAACATCTTTATAACAGACCTTGTGTTGATAGAAATATTAAGATTTGACAAGTTTGAATGGCATTGGATGTTAATTTCGTGTTTTATATTCTTCTTGGATATTCAAAATTTTGACCGTTTGTGTGGGAGGTACCAGAAAGAGTGGACCCATATATCCCATCTTCACACCAGAACTTGGGTTAATGAAAAAACCGTGTGAAAGAAAATCGGACTCTTATATCAGATTTTATAAGAGATATAATTATTCAACATTTTGACACTTTGTTGGTGTCGTAACAAGTGAACCGATATTGTCCATTTTCGCACCTGACCGTTTTTGTATCTGACCTACAACTGACGTAAATATTAAGATTTGCAAAGTTGTAGCAAAATCGGATTATCGCTTCCCTTTATGTGCAGAAAATATTGTTTTTTTTTTTTTTTTTTTTTTTTTTTTTTTTTTTTTTTTTGAAAATTTCTATCTTTACCAGAAGGTCCGATATATTCCAACTTACCAACAGACCTGGGGTAATGAAAGTATTGAGATGTGTGAAATTTGAAGACAATCAGACTCTTTCATCTCATTTTATAAGCGTTCTAATTATTCAAAATTTTGACACTTTGTGGGGGAGGTATTCGATGGAGTGGACCGATATTATAAATTTTTGCTTCTGACCTAGAACTGACGCAAATATTAGTATTTGCAAAGTTGGAGCAAATCGGATTATCGTTTCTCTTTCTGTGCAGAAAATATTTTCTTAATGAAAATCTCGGCCTTTTGTGAGGGTGGTGCCAGAAGGAGTGGACCGATATTGCCCATCTCCGAACTCGTTCTAAGTTTGACAAAAATATTACGATGTACCAAGTTTGGACCAAATCGGATACTCCTTTCGAGAGTTATCGTGTGCACCAGCCAGACAGACAGACGGACATTGCGAGATCGACTCCAAATGTTCTGAAACGGATTTGGTCCAAAGAGACCGTTATTTCGACTAGGCACGTTTTAACCGTATCAAATAATATGTATACCCTCTATAGACATATGGCTGAGGGTACAATCACCAAAGTTCGGCCGGGCCTATTAATACCCTCCACCATTTGGAAAAATTTGAAAAAAATCTGTCAAAAAATAAATTTTAAATGAAAACCGTTATATGAGGGCTATACGAAGATGAGGACCTCCTTATGCAATTTTTTGTCATAGGCTAGGCATTGGACATTCAAATATGAAATTTAAAACAATTCCGTTGAGTAATGTGCTAATATCATCAAAAGGCCAAAAAAGGGAGGTACCGCTAATGTGGGGTATACGAAAACGTGGACCTGCATAGAAAATTTTCTGTCATGGATTGAAGTATCCATTACGAACTTCAAATACGAAACTTGAGACAATTCCGGTGAATAATGTTGCTAAAATCATCAAAATACCGAATATTGGGAGGTATCGTTATATATGGTGGCTATACAAAGACGTGTACCTGCAAAAGTATTTTGTGTCATAAGCTGTATTACCCATTATGAACTTTAAATAAGAAATTCGAAACGATTCCGGTGAATAATGTTGCTAAAATCATTAAAATATGGAATATCGGGAGGTATGGTTATATGGTGGCTACATGAAAGCGAGGACCCACATAACCCATTTACGAACTTAACCTAATGGCAAAATACACATTTATGCAAAATGTTTGCATTCTGTCTCAATTTTACGCTGATCACGAATATATATATATTTGTTGGGTCCGATACCCTGTACATACCTGTGATTCGAAGAATTTCAGCTCGGCTATAACAACTACCAACATATTACCAATGGCCACCGACAAAAGCCAACAGGCTTGCAATACCGATTTCATACTCTGGGGAGCTTGAGTAAATGAGAATTCCAAACCGGTAATGGAGAACATAATTTCCGCAGCGGTGATGACAATGATCTGGGGCAACTGCCACATCATGTGGACAGAGTTGGGTTCGGTTACAACATGTTGCTGATAATTCTAAAAAAGAGAAAAAATGTTTAAAATATCTCTCATACCAAAGTCCCGAAGTCTACTTACAAATCCCTCCTTGAAATTTCCATTGGCCATGAGGACATATACACCTCCCGCTCGGGCAGTTAGATTCATAACCACTTGATCATTTAAAGCTAGAACAGCTTTTCCCCTCGCCACAGTTATCAACTGTGATGTGTTGTACGAAGCCAGCTCCGTCACAGTGTTGGCTGCATCGACAATGGTAAAGTTACCCTGACCAGCAGGAATATTTAACATGACACGGACCAAAGGATTGCCCAATTTGGGTTGTTCAGGACTATCCATGAATTCATGCATACGATCGTTGGCAATGAAATAACTGACGGCCTTGCCGGGCATCGTTTTAATCATACCCGATATTCCGGGACATGCAGGATCCGCCGATGAGGCATCAAAGCGATAAGAGGTAAGCATAGCCGATGGGACTTCCCTCTCCATCCACAAACCCAACGCCGGTACATGGCTTTCATTTTTCATATCACTCATGGGAAATTCGGTTAGGAATTTATAATCACAAGGCATGCCATTGTAAATTCGCAGCTGTGATGTTGTGGGCCCGGGGACAACAGGTGCCACCGCCTCCAATTTCAGTTCCACAAATGCCGATAGCAAGAAAGCTCCAGCAGCCAACAAACCTCCAAGTGTCAATTTCTGCAAGGGTCTGCGTATGCCAACCATGGACAACAGGGGATACAAGACATAATCGAACAATGGAATAAAGGCCAAAATCAGCAGAGGATTAACCACCTGCATTTGATCGGGTTTAATGAAGAAACCAAAAATTTCACCATCCATACGGGTGGCCTGGAAAGTCCACCTTGAACCCTGTTGATCGAACAATGCCCAGAAAACGGGGAAAGGCAAAAACAATACCAAAATCTTCAGCAACGTCTTTACATCGGAAACCATTTTGGAGCCCACAGCTGGTTCGGCATAGTCCAACCAATGTGGCTTGGGTTTTGTTTTGCGCTCTCTTCTCCAGCCACTGATGGCCTGGCTAATGCAACGTGAGACACCCAAAATCATGTTTCCTGCTGGGGGTTTCATCACATACAACCTCTTGCCGGCCACAAAAATTACCACCGACAACAACATGAGAACAGCAGGAACACCAAATGCCAATGAGAAACAATCATTGTCGCCGAAACAATGGACATCTTCACGCAGGATGGGTGTAACCGAAGTTGAAATCATGGAACCGGCATTAATGGCGAAATAGAAAAGGGAAAAGAATGTGGCCAATTGTTTTTCTTGTTCTGGAAGGCGGAATTGATCACCACCAAATGCAGATACGCAAGGTTTGATGCCTCCCGTACCGATGGCAATGAGAACGAGCCCCAATATGGTTACAGCCCTATAAAAAATTATTTATTAGAAATAAAATATGGATTCTAAAGGGGTTTGACTTACTGAACTGGCAGCTTCAGCACCGGCACGGCACCCAAGGCCATGATGACACCACCAATGGCATAAACAATGGACAAATTCAGAATGGTCTTGAATTTGCCCAGCCAACTGTCAGCAACGATGGCACCCACCAGGGGGCACAAATACACTAACATCGTAAAGACATGGAACAAGACCGTCGACGTATCATCGTCATATTGCAGTTTACTGGTCAGATATAGAACCAGGATGGCTGGAAAGACAATGAGATATTTTTTAAGTCGGATTAGAAAAATAATTAAAAATAACAATAAAATATCTGAGTTACGGGTTATTGAATTGACTTGAAAGAAAAATATTTCGCTCGACGGCAGTATTACTATCGATCGCGCAGACAGTGAAAGACCCGAAGATAGCCCAACATTAACGAGTCGTTCAGTGTATGGTGCCCAATATCAACAAGAATATATGAAATAAACGGTGAATAATGCAGCTAAAATCATCAAAATATCGTATATAAGGAGGTGCCGTCAAAATGGAGCTGTGCAAAGACCTGGACCAGCATAGACAATTTTCTGTCACAGGCTGTAGCATCCATTACGAACTTCAAATACCACATTTCAAACAATTTCGGTGGGTATTGTACCTAAAATCGTCAAAATACCGAATATGGGGAGGTACTGATATATGGGGCCTATACGAAGACCTGGACCCGCACAGACAATTTTCTGTCACAGACTGTAGTATTCATTACGAACTTCAAATACCAATTTTCAAACAATTCCGGTGAATAATGTCGCTAAAATCATCAAAATACCGAATATAGGGAGGTACCGTTATATGGGGGCTATACGAAGACGTGGACCTGCACAGACAATTTTCTGTCTTAGGGTGTAGTATCCATTTTGAACTTCAAATACCAAATTTGAAACAATGCCGGTGAAAAATGTCCCTAAAATCATCAAAATACCGAATATAGGGAGGTATTGTTATATGGGGGCTATATGAAAACGTGGACCTACATGGCCCATTTACGAACTTAACCTGCCTACTGGAAAAATAAACATGTGTGCAAAATTTTAGCCATCTATCTCAATTCATTCGAAAGATAGCGTGATTACAACAGACAGACAGACGGACAGACAGACAGACAGACGGACATCGCTAAATCGACTTAGAATTTTACGCTGATCAAGAATATATATACTTTGTTGGGTCTGACATGAGTATTTCGACGAGTTACAAACGGAATGACAAAGTTAATATACCCTCCATAGTATGGTGGAGGGTATAAAAACATTAAGTTCGTTCGGGCCAAACTTTTAATACCCTCCACCTTAGGGTAAAGGAAACATTAGAAGAGATGTGACAACAACCATTAAAATGCCGAATATTGGGAGGTATCGTTATATGGGGGCTATACCAAAACGTGGACCTATACATGCAATGTTTTGCCACACGTACAGGGACCCGTTATGACCTACATATACAAATTTTCAGACAAATCCGTGAAAAAATGTGGCATAAATCATCAAAATACCGAATATCGGGAGGTACCGTTATATGCTCTGCTAAATTTTGGCGCTCTACGTCAAATAATGTGGGCTGTATCGTGATTTCAACGGACAGACAGACAGACGGACTTAGAATTTTATGCTGATTATGAATTGGCCACAGAACTCAAGCGCCGGCCATGGTGATGATTGGGGCCGCCATAACAGCTGATTGTGGCTCTCGGTTCGTATTAATCGACCGTGGCATTTGCGAAAATATTCTGGAGGGTGTATGAAAGATTTGGGCACGCAAACATTTTGGCCGCAGACTTCGGACATTCCAACAGGACTCAGCACCATTGCACTCAGCACGCGCCACTCCAGAGTGGTAACAAAATGAGGCTCCTCGCTTCATTTCCAGTACAGTCCGTTGGACAATTGTAGCTAGAGTATTTTGGAAAGCAAGATGGGCACTAAAAAATACCAAAGTGTCGATCACCTTAAGCACCGCTTCGCTGGCAATACTCCAAAATACCGCAGAGCAACATTCGGGCAGCATGTGACGGTTTCATTGGCCGTTTGAAGGCCATTATTCGTGCCAAAGGTGACCACTTCGAACAAATCTAGACTTATTCTAAAAAAAAATGTTTTTATCTCACCCTGTACTATGGAGGGACTCATGTCAGACCCAATAAAGTTTATATATTTTTGATCAGCATAAAATTCGAAGTCGATTTAGCGATTTCCGTCTGCTAAAATTTTCACACATGTGTATTTTCCCAGTATGCAGGTAAATGGGTCATATCGGGTCACGTTTGCATGTTGCCCTCATGTAATGGTATCTCCCGATATTCGGTATTTTAATTATTTTAGCGGCGCTATTCACCGAAACTGTTTAAAATTTCGTAATTGAAGTTCGTAATGGGTACTACAGTCTATGACTGAAAATTACCTATGAAGGTATTAGTATAGCCACCATATGAAGGTACCTTCCACAATATAAAGGTACCTTCCGATATTCGCTATTTTGATTATTTTAGTGGCATTATTCACGGGAATTGTTTCAAATTTCGTAGTTGAAGTTCGTAATGGGTACTACAGTCTATAACAGAAAATCTCGTATGCAGGTCCACGTCTACGTGTAGCCTCGACATTTTGATAATTTTAATGACATTATTTCGTAATGAGTACTGCAACCTATGACAAAAAATTGTCTATGCAGATCTTCGTATAGCCACCATATAACGGTTCTCATTTAAACGGTATTTTTCGACGAAATTTTCTTAACGTTTTGCAAGTTCCTTCCAAATGGTGGAGGCTATTAGAAGTTCGGCCCAGCCAAGCTTAGGTGCTTTTGTACTTGTTTTCTCAAAATTCTCGAATTTCAAATGAAATCTTAAAAATTATTTCTAAAAGGTTCAGAAACTATAGTTTTCGTCAAGTTTTATAAGAAAACTTAACTTTTAATAATCTATGACGTAAAGAAAATTCGAATAATATAATATAATAATATTAAAACAAGTAAGCAAAGGCTACAGTCGAGCGGGGCCCACCGTTGAATACCCTACAACACTACAATAAACGATACAGTTTATATAGGCGAGATACTCGAAAGAATTCCACAAGATATTGTGACAAATAATAAAAGAAAACCATCAGGTTTCGTTCTCTAATTTTCGAATAATAGCAACTTAAACTAATTTGCTCATTTCCAATTTATTAGTAGATGTTGCACGTAAATGGTCTTCCTAGATCTGGAACCAATATTTCCCAGAGACCTATAATCTCTCAGAAGTGAAAAGATGATTAACATTTATTATTGGTTTTTGACTGAAACGCATCTATATGAGATACAGACATTTGACTATATTCTTCAACGAAATCAGCGTTAACGAAGTAGTCAGAAGTGCGTCTTTCCTGTATTTGTGAATTCTCCAAAAAGTCACTGGAATGGACATTTTCGTATTTTGTCTACAAAAGTTGGCAAACTATTTCGCACATTGAATATTTTTGGATGGCCATCCAAAACTGCTTGGCTTTTGCAATGTCCGGTAACCCAAAAAGAGTAGGCTTCTATTCTGACCCTCATCTTATCCCCATGCAAAATTTCGTAAGGATCGGGCCATAAATTCGATCTGTATATGATATCCTAACTACTTAGTTTTGTTAGCTGTAGAAATATTACCAAATGTTTAATTCAAAATGAAAATATGCCAAAAATATGACAAAATTGAAAAAATATGAGGAAATTTGCAAATCAATATTTTCATCTTTAGATCGATATTTTTATGCGATTTTTTAGATGTTTTTTCTTTTCTGCCAAGAGGCCATTCTGAATTAATGAGAACTGTCGAAATCAGTTCAGCCGTTCTCGACATAAAATAGATCTTTCAAGCACATCTTCTTTGATAGACATATATATCACACATATTTTCTATATATCCGTTTTGTTGGATGTTAACATCAATGTAAAGATCAGAAGTAACCTTGTGATGGCTTTGTGATTTCGCCGGGATTTAAAATATTCGCGGTTTAATGAAAAAATTTGAATTTTTTCAACAAAAAAGATATGGCCTATTTTACCCGCTAAATATTATCCGATGACCACCCAAATTGGTAGGCTTCTTCCCTGCCCTAAACTCTAGCTACATGCGAAATTCCGTGTCGATTGGTCTATAATTGCGACCTGTATAGCTACTGCAAAATCCGACATTTTTTCAGTATTTGGTCCATTTTAACCCCTAAACATTTGGCGATCATCTCCAAAAGAAATAGGGTTCTATTCTGACATTAACCCCACCTACATTTTAAATTTCGTGAAGATCGGGCTATAATTGCGACCTGTAGAGTGATTACAAATTAACATGGACAGACGGACAAACGGACAGACAGACGGACGGACATACATAGCTAGATCGACTCAGCTCGGCGAGCTAGGAAGATCCATATATCATAAAACTTATAATACCCCCAACACATAGTGTTGTAGGGTATAATAAAACTATCGGGAATGCATATTCGATCGAGCACCATAAAGTGGGTGGTACGATTATATGCGAACTACTGACTAAAACCTACTAAGATAATTTGTTGCCAAAGGTGGTTTATCTATTGCGAGCTTTGACATTTCATTGGACATTTGTCTCAAATCATCAGAATTCCGAGTGTCGGAAAGTACCTTTATATACCATTTTCCGATTTAAACCATTTTCAATCCCAGAAAAATTTCATATATAATATTAATATGAACAACAATTTTAGCTATCTGAACGGTCACTTCGAAAGTTAGAGTGATTTGAACAAACGGAAAGTTTTAAATCGTTTTAAAATTTTACGCTGATTCTTCTGTTGTTCCTCAAATGATCATTTCGATGAGTTACAAATTGAGTGACAAACATAATAGATTTAAAAAAAAATTCAGAATGAATTTCTCAATTGTTCCGTATTTTCAAATAATTTTAAAATTCTAACCACATTTTGAAGTTACATTACCGAAACAAACGCGGAAATTAATAACAAACAACAACAACAACACTTGATACTTACTTCGCATGCCATAATAATTGAAACGTTCACAGAACTCATTGCTGATAATAAAACCCACCGACTTGGGATATTTCACCGGCTGCAAAGAAAAGAAGAAAAAAAAAAAGACAACAAATTAATTTTATTTGTTTGTTTTCCGAACACATTCCATCACGTTCCATCAAAAAGAAGTAAAATGCAAGTAAGTGAGTTTACAAAAAAAAAAAAAATGTCATTCTGACAATGCAATACAATTGAACAAAAAAAAAAAAAAAAAGAAATATCTTTTCCTCAAAACAATGTAAGGCATTTCAGTTAAAACAGCCAGCCGAGTAGATTTGTTGACTATCTTTGCAGTTGTGGTCTTTTATCTCCAGCATGACTTAATTGAACACTGAGATAATTATTCTCTTATTTTTGGTTTGGTGCTGGGAGCCGTTGAACAAAACAGACAGAAACATAACTTGGCAACATAACTCCCAAACAATAATAGCGACAGCAACAACAACAACAACAACGGCAATCAACTGCCACAAAACAAGTATCAATCAAATCTTACCAAATGTGACACAGAAATACAACGAGTGAGAGTTTGTCGCAAAATACCAACGGTTGATTGAATGGTTACAGGTTTTGAAAAAAAGCAAAAGTATTTCTATGAAAATTGAATTTTTAATAAAATAATAGCTTATTCGTCGAAAAATTTGAATGGGCTTTTAATAGTCTTTGTTACATTGTTCGTAAGGCTTTAATGATAATCAAAAGTAAATGTTTTTTTTTTTTTTTTTTTAATAATTGCATTGAAATCAAATGTTTAGGCGAAATTCTAAGAAATTTTGTATCAACTGTATGAAAAAGTACCTCCAGACATACATATTATAATCTGAGATCTTTGTAAGACTAATATTGTGTGCGTCTTTAAGTAGGGTTATTGTATGATCAAAATGCTTTACTGTAATCTTTCAATGTCTTTTCCACCACCTGACTGGGACAGAGTAGTGGTATCACTCACCTTAGGGATATAAGGTTTCACATCGATCAAAAAACTGAGACATTCGAAAAATTATTTTTTTTTGTTTTTGTATATATTTTTTTTTTTTTGGATTTTTGAAAAAAAATGAAATCAGTGTTTAATTTATTGCGATACCTCTTGCAATGTTCGAAAAAATCGCTATTTTTTAATGTAAATATTCAGCTGTTTGAACTTTAGTACCTGTGGTCTAACTTGTTATGCAGAAGGAACAACTGAGCTCGAAAATTCGACTTTTAAATTCTACAACAAAGTTTTAGCGATCTGATGCACATAGGCGTACTAAACCGTCCAAATGAACTAAAACAAATTGAAACGGCGTTAAGTTTGCAATAAGCAAATTTTATGATGAAAACTTAAATTATATCCAAGTACGTTACATGGACTATAGGTCAAAACTGTTCTATTGAAGGGAAAATTGAATTTAAACTTGAAAACAAGACAAGCCAAAAAGTATCCGTCGGTTTTGCCGGCTGATGTATACCCTCAGCCACAGATCATTTATTAGAAAATATTTTGACTTGGGTTATGACTATTCAAACTATTGACCCTTTATGAGGGGCGGTTCCAAAGGTCCATTTCGTATTTGACCTAAGTCTCATATAAATATGCCAGATTTGAGATATATTTACTACTTCACTCACCTTTGCATAAGAAATGTAGCAATTTTTGGGAAAATAAGAAATGTGTGTGAGGTACCTAATATAGTTAACCGAAGCATTCCACTTCATATAACACTGAAAAAAATAGGTTGAGCATCTAACCTTTATTACCAAGTTTATGCGAATATTAATCAAAATTTAAACCGTTTTGTGGGGAAGGTATCAGAAGGAGTGAGCCGATGAATTCACATCACATCTCAGGTTAACAAGTTTTAAAAGAATCGCTGACTTGTTTCGAAAATTATAAGAGACATATATATTGAAAACTGCGACCCATTGTGGGGGAGATTCCAAAAGGGGTGGGCCAATATCTATCATCTTCACACCAGATCTTGTGGTAATAGAAATATTGGGATATGTGAAATTTGAAGGAAATCGGGTTCTTACTAGGCATTTATAAGGGTTTTGGTTATTCAAAATGTTGTACATTTGTGAAGGAGGTGCCAGAAGGATTAGACCAATATATTCTATCTTCATACCATATCTTTTGCTAGCAAAAATATTGAAATTTGCTAAGTTTGAAAATAATCGAATGTTCATTTCGCGTTTTATGAGGTACATAGTTATCCATTTTGGCACGTTGTGGCGGAGGTACCACAAGGAGTGGTCTGATATATTCTTCACACCAGATTATGTGTTGATAGAAATATTGTGATGTGTGAAATTTGAAGAGAATCGGATATATATTTTGCAAATTTAAAGAGATATAATTTTCCACAATTTTGACCCTTTGTGGGGAGGCACCAGAAGGAGTGGACCAACACATATCATGTTTACACCAGATCTTGGGTTAAAAAAATTTAAAGAGAATCGGATAAATATTTTGCAAATTATAAGAGGATTAATTATTGAAAATGTTGACCCTTTGTGGGGGAGGTAAATGTTGGAGAGGACCGATATTTTCCATTTTCGCTCCTGACCTAAAACTAATGCAAATATTGGGATTTACAATATTTGCACAAATAAGATCATAATTTCTTGTTCTATAAGGAAAATAATTGTCTATGAAAATGGTAATCTTTTGTGGGAGAGGTACCAGAAGGAGTGGACCGATATTGTGCATTTCCGAAATCGATCTAAGTTCTAATAATATTACAACAACTTTGGACCAAATCGGATATTAATTTGTAATCACACTACAGATCGCAATTATGGCCCGAAATTAAAAAAGGAGGTGGGGTAAGGCTATTGCTTTTGGAAAAGACAAAAAAAAAACGAAAATTTTCTTGATTTTTCAGTTGCTCAACAGGTCACAAGTGTAGACAAATTAACGAGAAATTTTGCATGGAGGTAGAGTGGAGGGAGGGCTGGGCTGGGCAGAAGGACAACATTAAGTGAGTAAAAAAACAATAACTACTACCCCGCGAATATTTTTAATCGCGGCGGAATCAAATCTTTGTTAATTCGCTTATAAGTCAAGAACTGTGGTACCGACTTTCAGTATTCTCATTAATTCGGAATTGTTTCTTGCCAGAAAAGGATAAAATTTAAGAAAATCGCATAAAAATAAGACAATAAAAAAGTTATCATTTTTGGTTAATTTTTTTCCTATTTTTGTCATATTTTTTATCGCATGCGATTTTTTAAACTTTTACTTACGATTTTGAATTGCACATTTTCTCAAGTTTTTCTTCACCCCGCAACATTATTTGTTGAGGGTATTACATACATGTCGCAATAATCGTCCGAACGTCACGAAATTTTGCATGGGGGTTAGAGTTAGAGCAGGGCTCTATCACATTATTTTCAAACCAAAATCTTCCAAAATGGATTTGGACTTAAGGTGGCTTCCAACATATTGTAGTGTTGTAGGGTGGTGTGATCAGAATTTTTTTTTTTGGTTCATTTGAACCCCCAAATATTTTTCAATCATCTACAAAAGCAAGAGTACCCTCACTTTTTTAGTTGTTGGCCCATTTCAACCCCTAAATAGTTTGCGAACATCTTTGAAAACAATATGCCTAGCCCTTCTGAGCCAAACCTATCCTAAGAAAATGTTCGTGAGGCTCAGACGATAATTGCAATCTGTATATAATAACCCCAAACTGTGTTGTAAGGTGAAAAAATATTACAAAATGTATACTATAAAAAATATGAAAGAATAAAAAAATATGTCAGAAAATACTACAAAAACAAAAAAAAAAAATATTAACAATATTATTGGCATCTTTTTATGCGATTTTATACTTTTATGCCAAGATGGCATTCTGAATTTACAAAATTTGTCAAAATCGGTTCAGCCATTGTTGAGATATAAGCATCCTAGCTAACATCTCCTTCCTTCGTATATACACATTGTATATAATTCGCTATATATATCCGATATATTTACTATCGACATCTACGTAACGGTCAGGATTGACCTGTTTGTCTATTTGTGATTTCGCCGGGACTAAAAATATTCTTGGTTGATTAATATATAATTGCGACCTATAGACCAACTGCAAAATCTGTCAATTTTTCACTTTTTGGTCATTTTCAACCCCTAAGTATTATGCGATCATCTCCAAAGTAAAAAGGATTCTATTCTGGCCACAATCCCACCTCCATTTTAAATTTTGTAATCGGGATATAACTGCGACCTCTAGAGTGATTACAAATTAACATGGACAGACGGACAGATGGACGTACATAGGTTTCATAGGTTTCATGTCCAATTACATATAAGGAGGCTCAAAAAATTCTTTAAAAATCCACGTTTTCTAACCTTTATGGAAAACCAAAAAAAAAAAAAAAAAAAAAAAAAAAAAATGCATTGACAATTTTCCATATCAAGTCATGTATTTTAACCAAATTTATGGACATTTTCGGATTAGTGTCCAAGTGTAGGTTATCTGAAGGTAAAATTGTCAATCAAAAAAATTTATAGTCTGAATACGTGCTAAGACTACTGTTTCCCATCTCTCAATATCATTCAATTTGATCTTTCTAAAAATTACACAACATATCCTGAGATTACTATGAGATTACCAAAATAAATATTATCATATATAATTAGTTCAAAATAGGTGTGTCTGAAACAATAATATTTATATTTGCACATTAACATATTTATAGTATTCAAATTTTCCAAATTATGTGTTTGAATATTTATCAAAATGTGTCTGTCTGTGACGATGACAAAACATAAATAACAAAAAATGCAAAACTAGTCAAGGTCAAAAAACTTGAATTTGGCTTTAAGCGATTTACACTCTTATCATTTATAGAATATCGAACGAATTCCCCCACAATATTAGCCAGCATTTTGCATTCAATTTCTGTCATTTCATTAAAAAAATAATATTGCAAACAGTATTTATCAATTAATCGCATACTTGTCTAAAAATGTATATATGCGACAGTAAGGTTTACGTTTGGAATTTTGTGTTTTGAATACAAAAATAGGTGACAAATTCATAGCCAGAA